TGATTTAAAGGAAAGTCGAGCCAAATTGTCCTGCAGTCGGTCACTCAGTAAGCCCTGTCCTCCCCAGCAGCAGGATTCCAGTGGCCATAGCTCTCCATTCTGGCCTGCCAGCCCAGAGCCTTGAAATTCTTCTTTGTCTGCACAGTTGTCTCAGAGAACTAGAAAGAGGTTGTGTCTGCCGAAAAACAGCACACCTGATGCCGGGGCTCATAGAATTCTTTGCACTGATTCCATGTGTGACAACGGATGTGCCTTACTTCTCAGCAAACTGCATTTTACAGTCTTTCCTGCTCAGTTTGTCAGCTGCCTGGAACTGGATCGGTGATCGATGCCCAGGCGGACATCTTACTGATGTCACTGAAGATTTCATCCCGCATCTGTGTGCACCTTGAGTTTGTTCTCTGGGGAGAAGCGCAGACACAGTGGGAGAAGCCACGGTGGGGAGAGAAAGGAGGGGCAGCAGTCTCTGAGAAGGAAGGGCTGGAGGCCCAGAACGCTTCCTAGGGATTCCTGCTGAGCAAAAGCGAATTCTACGATGTGACTTTAAGATAGGGGCAGGCGAACCACGGTAGAGGTAGTTTAACCCAGTGAGACAGGGAAGATCAGAGATGGGAGGGATTTTGTTTATTCTTTCAACAAATATTTAATGAGCACCTACTCTGTGCCCGGCCCGTGGGAGATGCTGGGAAAGTGGCATGCCCACGGCTCCTGCGCCCGGCAGACATCACAGTTGATCGAGGCACCCTCTCCCTCAGAGTCTAGATGCAGCTTCAGATTTCCCTCCACACGGTGCTCCAGGGAGCCGCTAAAAATTGATCAGACTGACACCAGAATTGAAGCCAATTCGTAATCCTTGATGGGATCAGATCTAAGGGTGGTGTGTGATGAATGGGAAGAATATAATCCCCACACCCACACCCCGGCTGCTGGTTAAGTACGTTACTGTTTCTCAGACAAGGCTCTGGATTGCAAATAAGAGAAAACCACTCATGCTAGCTCAGTGTGTCAAACAATATACGGCAACCAACATCTGAAAAACCAAACCCTTAGCAGGGCATCACTCATGGTAAGGGGGAATTTTCTTTCTTGATGCTTGTTCCTTTTGCGTGTGTGCATCTATATGTCCCTTGGATATAGAAAAATATATCCAGAGGGTTGAAATATACTCAAGTGAGTGTAGGTAGAAGAGTATCTCACACTGGAGGCTAAGGACAGGGAGGGCCCAGAACCAAGAAGGTCAGGAAACAGAAAGAAGGTCAGGAAGGAGCACAGGCACTGACTGTAACTCACCTGTCAGTGGCTGAATGAACTCTGATCTTTCTCAGCCACTGCATGCACTTGAAGGCAACTGTGGCTACCCCGGAGCTTCTGAGCCCTCAGTAGAGACAAACTGGGCTCTCTGAAACCTACTTTAAATTCCTGGGAGAGATGCTAATTGACTTAATCAGGGTTTGGAGGAGGAAGAGGTAAGGAAAGAGAGAAGAGTATTCATGGTCTCTTGCCTATCACTGGTCATGCAAACATGGACTCCAGGGCCTGTGTGTGTGTGTGTGTGTGTGTGTGTGTGTGTGTGTGTTATGAGTAGGGCAGATGCCCCACAGGTGGAATCAAGCCTGGGACATTGTAGCTCTCTAGCCCCACATGCTCTACCCTTCCTCCGTATTGAATCCTCCTGAACCCACCCTAGTTTTCCCCAACTCCACACTGTCGCCTTGGCCTGGAATGCCTTCCTTGTCCTCTTCCCCTTGGGGGAACTCCTGTCCTTAAAGTCTCAGTTCAAATACTGCCTCATCTGCAAAGCTGTCTTCACCTCCCCAGAGTCACCCCCTTCCTCTGTGCTCCCCAAAGTCTATGCTCATAACCTTTATGGGATTGGGTTAAGATGAGTTATTTAAGCTTCTGTCTGTTCCACTGGATTCTGAGTAGCTTAAATAACCAGGATCCAGTCTTCTCTGTCTCTGTTCATCCTTTGTCTTTTCCCCGTCCCCAAGTCCCTTCCAACTTGGAATTATGGAGAAAGGAAGGAAGGGGGAGTAAAAGGAAAGGATGGGAGGGAGCCCACAGGAAGAATTTCTGCTGGGAGAAGCACAGACCATCCAAAGCTTTTCCCTCATAATTAAAAGTAAATACTACATTATTTGAATTTAATTCACACCAGCACACTAGAAATTATTGAAGAAAGGGGTGTAGAAATCCCAATAGCTGGAGGAGAGAAGAAGGAAGAGAGAAATGTGTGCTGGGCTCCTGCTAACCTCTGACACTTTAAACCAGGAGATGCATGGGACTCTGGATAACTCAAGGCTAGCAGCCTCCACCAGCAAATTTTTCTGTGACTCTAAGGTCTCCCCATCGCCCCGACTGCTGTCATCAGAAGGCTATAGGCAGCCTGACCTTGGCCCAGCAAACCCTCCAGCCTGTATAAAGAGAAGCACCCCCCTATCTTGACATAACAGGCCCCACATGGTCTGCCTCATCCTCTAGGACCAGAGGGAAGGTGAAGGAGGTCACATGTGGAGGCCATCAGCTTCTTGGGGAAATGGGAGGTGAGCTTGTCTAGGAGGAGAAGGCAGAAGTGGGGGGGGGGGGGTGGCACCTGCATAGACGTAGAGCAGGGCTGGGAGGAGTCCGCTAAGGATGAATACATGTGGGGCCAGCACTCAGGACCTGGCTGAACTCGGAGAGTGGGAAATTGTGCGGGGATCGGAGGTGTGGTTATATGACCCTCTCCTGATGGCCTTGGAACTGTGTTCTGTGATGACATTCCCTTATCTAGTGCTGCTCTGGGAGGCTCCATTTTCTGGCTTCTCTCTTTTCTTCTCCGATGCACCCATGACAGGGGATGCCAGAAGAGATGACAGGGAGTGGCAGGGTCTTAATTAAAGGAGAGGGAAGGCAGCAGGAGGCAAAAACTAGTGACCAGCAGCCCCAGAGGATGAGCAGAGAAGTGCGGGGTGGGGAGCCAGCAGAGTGGAGGGGAGGCCACTGACCACGCCTCCCCCAATGGTACCCATTTCCTCCACAGGCTCTGCCTGAATAATGGTCAGAGAGAAATAAAAGAGACAGGATGTTGTATCAACATTTCAGCGGTTCATCTTTTAACTAGCAGAAAATGACAGCTCCTAAATGTTCAAAACCGTTTGGGAAACTTGTGGAGGGAAAAGGTTTTGCAGCCCAGGCAGCTGGCTGACATTCGCCTTTCTCCTCCCCATTTCTCTCACCTCAGCTCTCTCCAGCTAGGCACTCCTGGGTCTCCATCTGCGGCCCCGTCCATCTGATTGTGACTCCCAACCCGAACTGTCAGCTGGCTGGGTCCCCCTGAGGTCCCACCAGTCGCAACGAGCAAATCGGCAATGTCGCACCTCCCTCCTGCTGCCTTTGCCAATTTCCACCTCCATCCTTCACGTCATCTGGGCTGAAAGCATTAGCCTGGGGACAGTCAGAGCCCCTCACTTCTGCAAAAGAAGCCTAGCCTCCCTACGCGGCACTCGGTGCCCAAGCCCTCCCCACCTCCTGGCCCTTTGCACCTCCCGTGTGGGCTGTGAGCCCCCGTGTCCTCAGTTCATAAGTGTTCTTCAGCCTCTGAGTCCTCAGCCGGGCTGCTCCTCTCCTCCACCTTCACGAACCCAGTGAAGTTCCTCCTCACTCTTACGGCCCTTATCAAATGCCACCTCCTCCAAGATGCCTCCTTGATCTCTTAGCTGGTGACAACAGCTAACGTGTTGACCATATGCCAGGCAAAGAGCTAGCACTTTACCTACGTTACTTCATTTCGTCCGCCGAACGGCCTCAAGTGGGAATTACGATTTGTATCATCCCCATTTTACAGCTAAGAGAAATGAGTCTGAGAGAGTTTGGCAAACTCACCCACGGTCCTATACACCCACTCAAGCAGAGTTCTGCTGAACTTCACAGCGCATCCTTGTACAATGCGACTCCCTCCCCTCAGTTACCCAAGGCGTGCTATCTGTTTAAACATTCCTCCTTGCATTGTAGCTAATTATGTAAGCCAGTTGTTCAAGAGCACAGTTTTGTTCTTCACTTTTATCTCTAACAAATAATTCATGTTAATGTTTAACCACATGAAATACTGCGGTATATTCACTGGGCTTCCGGAAAGACCAGGAGTCTTCAGCCGGTCCCTCACTAGTCCTGATTCCTGACTTCCTATGGCTCCATGCATGTCTTTTTTGTCTTTGTACCTGGTCCACAGTGGACGATTAATACATGTTAACTGTCAACTGTCAGCTGTCCATTGAGTAATTATTATGTATAAGGTGCTGGGCTCAGTGAAGTTATAGTCGCCGTCTTAAATTATTCCTGCCCGGTCCAGTCCCAAACTGTGCTCTCACCAGCCACCTGCACCACCTTCTTGGACCACAGCCAGACCTCACTCAGGTATTGACACTCAGATGAACCCAGGAAGACTTGATATCCACTCTTTTCTGATGCCCACATCCAGGTGTATAAATTAACTAGCATTAAATTTGGCTGCATTTAGCAGAGACCCATAGCTGCTTAAACAAGACAGAGGTTATGTCTCTCTCACACACACAAGTCCGGGGATGGGCAGTCTGAGGCCAGTATGTCACCTTGGCCCCACAAAGTCCTCAGGGAACTGGGTTCCAGCTCCCTACTCCATCATTCATAAGGTGAGGCCCTCGTCCTCATGATCCAAGACGGCGTCAGAATGCTGGCTGCTATATCCACAATCAGGCATGGGATGGAGGAAGGGATGAGAAAAGAAGAGGCAAAGGCACATAACCCGAGAGCTGCCACAGAGTACCTCTGCTGAAATTTAATTGGCCAGACTTTTTTTTTTTTTTAATCTTTATTTTTGAGAGAGCCAGAGCCAGAGTGCAAGCAGGGGAGGAACAGAGAGGGAGGGAGACACAGAATCCAAAGCAGGCTCCAGGCTCCGAACTGTCAGCACAGAGCCCCCCTTGGGGCTCGAACTCACGAACCACGAGATCATGACCTGAGCCAAAGTCGGACGCTTAACGGACTGAGCCACCCGGGCACCCCTGATTGGCCAGACTTTAGTGGCATGGCCAAATCTAGTTGGGAGAAGCTGAGAAATGTTGTATTTATTCTGGATGGCCACATCCCCATCTAAACTTGGATATAAATTACTTGGAAAGAATGGAAGAATAGATATTGGAGACAACTAGCAGTCTCTACTAAAAGGGTTCGGTCTGTTCATGTTTGTGTACGTGCCCATGATGTGTGTTATGTGTGTGAGCACGTGTGTTGTGTACACTGGTGGCCCACGTTCTCTCCACCACTTTGATCCCAGATGGGCTTGTTATGAGTTCTCTGTGGAGCTCCTCTAAATCTGGCCTCTCAGGCAGATTGAGCCTCAGCTTCTCAATTCAAGGAACTACAATGTATTTTCTGCATCCACCGAAGCATGTTATCAGTGGTGAGAGAGGGGCTTGTAAAACTGTTTTCCCATTCAGGTGTTACAGGGTGGCCATTATGTGAGAGCGACTATGACCAGAGTTAATCTGGCAATAAATTCTCTTGGGAAGGAGGGTGTCATTAACGCAAGCATCCTAGCAAAGGGTACCGCTCAATCTTGTGCCGCAGGGGAAACGCCCCGAAATACCAGGCACCCTGTTGAGATGACCCAAGGCGAGGAAAATGCTAGATTCAGCGTTGGTTACAGGTAGTGTTGCCCCAGTGTTTTAAGCCCTGCCCAGTAATCACGCAATTCCAAGAAACTGCTGACCTTGCCTACCCCCACCCCACCCCCCACCCACCCTTCAGCACATACACACACAATATGCAGGGGCTTGACAGGTTCATCTCATTTATTCTTTTGAGCCAGTGGGTATTATTCCGTTTTACTAATGAGAATGGGATGCTGTAGGGAAGTTAAGTATTTGCCTAGAGACTCATAGCTAAAAAGGGCAGAGCTGCTGCTGAACCCTCGGGGCCTAACCACTATTCTCTCCAACTTTATTAGGATTTCGTGGAACCCTGTTGGGGGTTAGCACCACGGAACTCCCTTCCACAAACATTTGGCGCAAGTGTTTACTCAGGTAATCAGTAGGTAATAGAGGGGGTGTCAACTTCTTAAGAAAGAAAACAAGCCCCAAAACACCGGAAGGGCCCCTCCTGAATTACCTAGTATTTTTCATATTTGAAGTTGATTTGGTGGCACAGTCTCATAGCTTCATCCTAGAGCCGGGTATTTGTTTCCAAGGGCCATGGTCTCTGGAGGTGCCTGGGTTGAACATTGGGGTGGTTTGTAATTTGGGGCTCTCTTTAAAGGCTGGAGAAACCTTAGGGTGGGGGGAAGGCACCCCAGGCTTGCTGCGTTAAGCAGAACCCTGACTCTGCCGCTTACCTGTTTGACTTTGGGCAAGTTAACACATCTTCTCGACCTTTGTTTTCCCACGTCTGTGAAATTCAGATGAAAAGCATACCTTTGATCAAGAACTATAAAGAAAGAATATATAAGCAGCCACTTTTTTCTATTATATTGCCAGCATACGAATTATACTAATATTGCCACCTGTGGACAGAAAATGTACAGTCTATTTTTATCAATACCCAGATGAGGCAGAACATAAAAAGCAGAGATTAACTTTTTGGCCATCTCCAGCACCTTCATGCTAATATTTACTTACATTTGATTATCATTTCAGGCTCATGCACACATACTTAGCATGGATCACAGGCTCGCATACATTTCACTTTATTACCTTTGTCTTTCATGTCTCCTTAAAACTGCTGCTTATTCAAGGATTTGCATATTATTAATATTAGAATTCATTGTTCCATGACTTTGAAAGTGTCAAACATTCTGGACGAACATGTTAGATAGTCTCTCCTGCCTCCACCAACTGTTTTCTGGCCACTGTGCCCACCACTGTCCACTCTTACTGACAGCCGCTTGGTCTTTAATACCCAGCTCAGGTGACACCTCTTCCAGGGAGCTCCCTTTGTACTCCTGTGATATCTTGCACTTGTCCTTCTTGTACAGTTTGTCCTGCCTGTATTGGAATGGACTGCTTCCCTGTTTATCTCTCCTATTAAAGCATAAGCCACCTGAGAGTAGAGAACATCTATTATTCACCACTGTATCCTTGGTGCTCGGTGCTGTATCCGACACATTTGAAGACCTTCCACCAGTGCCGGGCGGGTTCAGGCTCCCAGCGGGAGAGAAAGGAAGTTATAAAGCCAGTGAGAAATGCCATCACAGAGATATCAGCAGGCCGCTGTGGGAGAGTAATGGAGAGGACAAGTAACGTAATCTCTAGTAATAAGGGTAGTAATAGAGTACATTTCACAACACCTTTAAAGCTCTTGCACATGCATTATCTAATTTGATCCTCATAAAAGCCTCGAGGTAGGTATATTGCAGGAGATGGAGGTGGAGGTTTTCGTGGTTATGTGATGTGCTTAAAGTCATGCAGCTATTAAACGGCTGGATCCAGACCAGACCATAAAAGCTGGTTCTTTTCCTCGCAGCATGCAATAAAGTCAAATCGTCACCACCACGTCCATTTGCTCAGGCCCTGGCTTACTGCTCTGTGATCTATCCCACACCGCATCACAGAGTTGGTCAGGTCTTGCCTCCCCAAGGAAATGCATTTCATTAATGTACTTCTAGATAATGAATTGTCTTTGACTCTGAGGAGATGATCGCTATGGCACAAAGCGAGTCTCCTTTTTATCCACATCTGAAAATATGGTTGGTCACAGGGCATATGGGTGTTTTCTGAGATCACCGGCGACTTGCTACGTGTGGTTCCTTCTGTTTGCAGGCCCGAGACGTACATCCTGGGAAGGAAAATGCTTTGTGGACCCTTGTGCCGATTCCTGTGGCTTTGGCCCTATCTGTCCTATGTTGAAGCTGTGCCAATCCGAAAAGTCCAGGATGACACCAAAACCCTCATCAAGACGATTGTCACCAGGATCAATGACATTTCACACACGGTAGGGAGAGCCTGGGAAGACAACAGGTTTGCCCATGGGGGAACCAGGACCTCAGATGTCAGCTGAAGCCTGTGCAGCCACATGTAGGGGCCATGGTGGCCTTGACTCCTCCCTACCTCACGAACAGCCACTTCCTACATGCGGGCTGTATTTGGAATTAGGACGACTAAATGTAAATCTCCACACTTTGGCTCTCTATCTGTAAAACCTTAAGCTAGTTCCTCCATGTCTCTAAGGCTTGGTTTCATCAGCTAGCTAGTACAGTCCTCACAGGGTTGTTATGAGATTAAATTAGATAAAGCAACTAGATAAACCCTCTCATAGAACCAGACCACAGTGTGCCTTCTTTAAAGGTTTTTCATTGTGGGTTTGGTAGCCCCCAGTCTTAAAAGCCTGCTTGCTTACCCAGCATGGGGCAATCTAGAGACTTCCACATCTCCTGGACACCATACGTGTCTGACAGTGGCCTCGGACAGCTCAGAACCAGAGTCTTGGGCATTTTATGGAGAGCAGCGTGTGAGTGTCCCTGCTTTCACGGTAGCTATCCGACAAGGCCACACGGGGTAGATCCAGAGTGTCCCAGCTTGGGTGGCGCAGAAAGTGAGGGCTGCAGGCCACCCCCTCCTGGTATCCAGCATTATTGGAGCAGAGGAGTGAGGCGGGGCCGGCCTTGATCCCTGAGGGGCCAGAGGCCTTGGAGGACCTGACTGGGAAGGAGGAGTCCTCTGGGAATGGAAGGGTGTGAAGATGGCTAGGGAAGGGGCACTTAGGGAGGACCTCAGTGCCTGGGGAAGAGACTTAACTAAGCGGGAATCGGGCCTCATGGCTGGTTCTACAGCAGAGGTCATTTGGAGGAGGGAACGATCTTCGAAGATCCATCTGGAAGGGGAGGGCAGGGTGATTCGGGAAGGGCAGGAAGATAGAAGTCCAGGGGATCAGCTTGGAAGCTTGGCAGTCCCCGGGGCACAAGAATCAAGGGCCTGGGCCAGGGCGGTGAGGAAGGGGAGAGGAGGCAGCCAAGAGAGCGGACCTCCACATTCATGGGAAAGGCCGAGAGCCTTGCAGAACCAACTTCTCTGAGCCCCTGCTCTCCCTTTTCCTCTCGCGCAGCAGTCTGTCTCCTCCAAACAGAGAGTCGCTGGTCTTGACTTCATTCCTGGGCTCCACCCTGTCCTGAGTTTGTCCAAGATGGACCAGACATTGGCCATCTACCAACAGATCCTCACCGGTCTGCCTTCTAGAAATGTGGTCCAAATATCTAATGACCTAGAGAACCTCCGGGACCTTCTCCACCTGCTGGCTTCCTCCAAGAACTGTCCCTTGCCCCGGGCCAGGGGCCTGGAGACCCTCGAGAGCCTGGGCGGTGCCCTGGAAGCCTCACTCTACTCCACGGAGGTGGTGGCCCTGAGCCGGCTGCAGGCTTCTCTACAGGACATGCTTTGGCGGCTGGACCTCAGCCCTGGGTGCTGAGGCCTGGAAGACCTCTCGTCCCAAAGTCGAGGAGAGAACCCATGGCTCCCAGGTGTCTTCAGCAGAGAGCCTGTGTGGGTGTCCTTTATCCAGGCCCCAGGCCATTAGTCTCTCACACCTTTGAGCCACTCTTCCAAAGGCATAAGCCTGCAAGGCACGAAACCAAAGATAGAATGCATGATTCCGTGCTCACCGGGAAGGGAGACCCACCCGGCAGTGAACCGGACCTGAGGATCTCACAAAAGCCTTCCTTCCTGTGCCACCTCCCCTCTCACCGCATGCTTCAGCGTGACCTGGGGTGATTTCAGGAGGCACCCGCTGAGCCTTTGGACCATCAAGCGAGGTTCTGTCTGAGAATTCTGAGAACACCATGACGGTTACATCCACATAGCTGCAAACTCCCAAGCAACACATTATTTATTCTGCGTTTTATCCTGGATGGATCTGAAGCAAAACAGCAGCTTTTCCAGGCTCTTTGGGGCCAGCCAGGGCTAGGGATGCTGCTTCCAGCCCCGCTGGTGGGCCTGGCTAAGGCAAACCCATTTCTCTGTGACTTGAGGGCTCTCAAGTTAGTTCTTTGGTAACTGGTTTTGTTTCTACCGTGACTGATGTGAAATTACAGTGTTTGCAATGGCATTGCCCTGAGCAGATCTCCAAGGACCAGGTTCTTCCAAAAAGAAGATGAATTTTGTCAAGTGTGATATATAGATGTGTGCACCTGGAGGTGGGGGGAACGTGTTAGTGGGAAGGGGAAGGATCAGAATGTATTTTCTGAATTACATTTGTGTGATGGGCTCTTCGGATGGGGTGGAGTCATTTTCTCATCTCTGCAGCCACTTCGTGTGGTTTTCTGGAAAATAACAAAGGAGATGACTCCTTTGGGGGGGGGGGGTGTGGGGTTTTGGCAGCCACCTATGGAGGGAGGCTGGGGACTGTCTATTGGGACAGTTGTGAGCTCTGGCCTTCTCCAATTGCGAGAGAGAGGTCTTTCTTATCAGGGAGTGAGGATCCCTCACTGGAGACCATGATCCCCAGAGCAGGGGTCCTTGGAATGGCCCTTGGAATGGTCTGGGGATGATCCTACACTGGATTTATTACATGGCAGTACCCCTACTTGGGATTTGCATGCCAAATTGTGGTTCTCATCAGACTGGCCCACCCAAAGCACGACCATGTTTCCTACCCATTTGGTGTGGATTTTTATTCCAGTGGGAAGGTCTGTGGGCTTTAGCGGGTGGTCCCAAAACTTGGGCCAGCAATGCTGAGTGCCAGGACTCCCGGGCCAGGCTGCCAGGAGCGCCTTTCCCACTAGAGGTCATGTTTGGTGGGATGAATGAACAAGGAGGCTTGGGTTTTCCACCGTTCTGCCACTGTTATGAGGCCATCACGTGACAGGTGGTGGATCTATCCAAGGAAATTCGAATCAAAGCTATCAACGTTCAGACTGAGCACCTACTTCGCGCTCAGCCCTGATTGGTGCTATGGGCTAGAGAAGCTCACCAAGTAAACGTTAAAATCCAGTCTTGCCCTCAGGGACCTTGCATTCCCGATGATAAAAACTTTACACAGCAGCGCTAAGGCTGGCCTTTCACCATGGTAACCAAGCTGCTGAAAGAGTGAGCTCCTGAGCAGGTGGGAAATGCTGGGCGGAGGGTGGCAGTCCTCAGGGGCCCACTGGCTAACCCTGCTTGCACTTGGTAGCATTTTTGCTTTTCAGGGCCCGGCAGCATTAATTACCGTGTAGCCACATCCCTTTGAAGCAGCTTGGCTGACAGTTTAAAAATGAGAAAATGCCTGAGACCGTTAACAGCTGATAGGTAGCTGGGCCAAGACTAGAGCTCAGGTCCTCTGGCTCCCCAGAGTGTCCCTGCAGCCAGGTAGTGCTCCCCGGAGGTACAAATAGGCACTGGGCAAGGGAGACCAGGAGTGATTGCTGGGAGAGAGGAGCTGGAGGCAACTTTGCAGGAGGTGAGGGATGTGAATTGCCTGGAGGGTGGAGGCTGTTTTGTTGGCGCTGAGACACCAGGGTGAAGGCACGTGCAGCCAGTTACAAAGAAAGGCAGACAAAGGACAGACGAGAGGGAAAGGGACACATGGAAGAGGCCTTCTGCGGCAAAGAAGTTTGATATCGAAAGGGTTAAGAGTTGAAAGTTCCAGAGCAGAACGATTCATGAGATGGACAGAGTAAGGCCCGTTCTGGAGAATACGACCTAGATAATCACTACCACCCAGTCAGGCTGGGATCTTTTAAGCCTTTCATTCACCAAAACCGGGCACTGTGGCTTATTCTCAGAGTATAAAAGTTCTAAAATGTAAATGATTGTCTTTTTTTTGTAACTTCAAAAATTTTTTTGGTTGTTAAAAAAAAAAAAAATCCAAATAAATTAACTTTGCCCCCTGGTCTTTGTTCTGCGTCACCCTTTGTGGAGGGGCTTTAGAAGAGCTATTGTGGGTGACAGGCCACGGCCTGGCTGGCCTCCAACCCCCACTGGGTTCAGCTCTGCCCGGGCTTGGCCACAGCCGGCCGCCAGTTATTCAGGCTAAAGGATTCCCCCAAAGCACAGAGCTGGCAAAATGAGCACATTCTGTGGGTCTGCAAATCAGCCTTGAGAAGCGCCAAATTGTTTTTAAAAAAAAAAAAGAACGACAACAACAACAACAAAGCTGTAAGCAAACAACGTGCAGCCTAACAGCAGACCCAAGCAGGTGCATCGACCCTGGGAAAGACAGGACTCCTCTTGTTCCGGGCACAGAGCACAATCGTCTCTGCGGGGCAGTTAGAACGTGACAGTTCCAACCCAGGGAGGACCGGAGGTGGGGGTGGGGGGCTGGCCCATCCAATAATCACTTCCATGGGCAATTTCAAAGTATAGTTGACAGCGGCCAGTCCTTTCCTGAGTACTCGTTTAAGTGGTGGAGGAAAGGGAGACAGAGCTGCGGAATGAGGAGAAACCACAGCCGGGGGCGGGGGAGGGGGAGGGGGGGTATCGGATAAGGCAGGAACGGCCTAAATGGGTCACTTGGCAACTCGGGAAGTGGCTGGCCTCTGTACCCGTGAAGACTCCTGTAGCTGCAAGTGACAGAAACCCAACGCAAACCAACTTAAACATAGAAGGATTTGGGGCGCACATTGCTCAGAAGCCCAGCATGGTCTCTTACAAGACTTTCCTCTGCACTCATCCCCAAGGACCTAGAAAGGTACCAATGCCATGACCTCTCCAGTCCCTGCCTGCCTGAGGTGGGTAGCAGGGGCTTGGGGACAATGGGTTTGCCCCTTGGTGGCCATCTGGGACTGTCTGAGATGTCTTGTTTCTGAGTGGGCACGAGTCTTAGTAGCTCCCCGAAGTGGTCTGGAAGGCAGCCCGCAGTAACAGGGGTCTCGGAGCAGAGGCCTGGAAATGTCATTCCCTTCTCGGTGAGGTGGCTCCCAGGGTCAGAGTGGAAGGGTATGTTCTTCAAGTATCCTTCCAGAACTTTTCCCATCCTTGGGCATTCTCTTGCTCTCCCCCCGAGGCTGAGCTCACATCTCCCAAACAGCTGGCAGCGTCTGACCATGTCCAACTTCCAAAGGCAGGTCTTTTGCAGAGTCTGGTGAGAAAGAAGTCAGGTCAACCCAGCAGGACCTTTCAGAAGAACCCCATCTCAGATTCGTGCACAGCAACATACAACCAAAAACATGACGCCCCGTTTCCCCTCAAAGAATTTAGAGTCGTTCATTCCAGGCTTTTACCATCAAGATCTGAGTCTAGTGCTGTCTGACTACCCAGAGTCACTGATTAGTTCACCGGTACATTGTCACCCTCAGCTCTTTGGGGTCCTTCCCCAGGAATGCACTGTCTCAGACCTGAGATGGTAGCGTGAGTCAAGGATGGAAAGAAGGTGATGGAGCCTCCATGCCCAGCCCTCATCTCAACCCCAGCTCCCAGCACAGAGGGTGCCTAACCCCTAGGCCAGTTACTTAATCCCTCTTAGCCTCAGTTTGTCATCTGTACAATGGGAATGTAATATAGCACCTTCATCAGAGGTCTTTAGAAGATAGGACGATAAAATATTTGGGAAGCTATTAGCCCCATGGGTGAGGTACAAAAAGCAGTCAAAAAATCATGTTGTTGTTATCAGTACTAATGAGTCAAGGAAGCAAAAGGAGTGAGAATTGCTTTCACGGATAGCCCTCCTTGAGATAGTCACAGCTTTGGTAGGGACGCCCGGGCACAGGGCTCCCCTGTGGCTCCTTAGGAAGCCCTCTCAGCCCCCACGGGGCAGCCAGAAGGTGAGGGGGAGAGGGAAGGTCCCAGTGGAGCAAATCTCAACCAGTGAGGAATGGGGGTCTGTGGATAAATCCCCCAGCCTCCCACCCTCCGGAGGGGCAATTTTAAGGGGCAATCTGTAGGACTGGAGCCTGGGTGCACACACCAGTCACATCCAAGGGGCATTCCTGATTGGCTTTTCCCCTTGCCTGGCCCCACTGTCCCTGTTCCTCGCTCCTGCTTCCTAGCGTCGCCTCCTAAATACGCCTCCTGCACCAGAACCCTTGTCTCCAGCGCTGCTTGTGGAGCAACACAGATCAGGCAACTACAGAGCAAATGGAGATAGATTTGGATGCTGGGAGAACTGTGAAGCCAGACTCCAGAGAGGTGTAGGAACCACACGCCAGAACTCAGAGAACCGTCCCTAGGAGTCCAAGGGAGAAAAGGAGAGAGGGTTCCTGAGGAGAAAGGAAATCCACTTGGGGAAAGTTTGACATGGGAAAGAAAGCGAGGACAGGAAAAGGAATCTACTAAATGGAAGAATTACAAGATTAATCAGGAAGGGAAGGGAAGGGGGAGGGGGGAAGAGGGGAGCAGAGGAAGGAAGGAAGAAAGGAAGGAAGGAAGGAAGGAAATGTAAAGAGAAGAAATAAATATAAAGTTAACATTGCCAGGGTCACCTGGGTGGCTCAGTCGGTTGAGCGTCCGACTTCGGTTCAGGTCATGATCTCACAGTTCATGAGTTCAAGCCCCGGGTCAAGCTCTGCGCTGACAGCTCAAAGCCTGGAGCCTGCTTCGGATTCTGTGTCTCCCTCTCTTTGTCTCTCTGCCCTTCCCCCACTCACACTCTGTCTCTCTCTCAAAAATAAACATTAAAAAGCAAACAAAAAACATTGCCTGTCTTAGTGCATGTGGGCCTACTAGAACCGAATACCTGAGGCTGGGTGGCTTGTAAACAACAGAAATTTACTTCTCACAGTTCTGGAGGCTGGAGCTTCAAGATCAAGGTGCCAGCAGCTTCCATGTCTGGTGAGCACCTGCTTCCTGGTTCGCAGACCACATCTGTGACTGTGTCCTCACCTGGTGGAAGGGGCAAGGGAGCTCTCCGAGGTCTCTCCTATAGGGCACTAATCTCCTTCATGAGGGGTCCACCCTCACCCTAAGCACTTTCCAAAGGCCCGCCTCCTAACACCTAACCTTGGAGGTTAGGATTTAACATGAATTCTGGGGTGACACAAACATTCAATCTATGGCATTGCTTTACGATCGCTGATTGGGGGAAAGATTAGGTCAAATCAAGGTAGTCTCAACCACTGACTATTTCTTGCATAAAATGTCTTCTTTCAATAAAGGGACCTAATATTAGCATTTCTTCCTTCTACTGAGTTCCCATAGCCCCTGGTCACTCAGCACAGCTCACGGGGAATCCTTTCTGTTGAGGTCTCACCCCTACACCCTTCCCTGCCCCTGACTGTAAGCCTGTGCAGACAGAGTTGCCTCGCCCCAGGCCTGGCTGTTGTGTGTGGCTCAGTACAGGCCCCCTGCTCTTACTTGGTGACCAAAGGAACTGAGACTCCTATAGTAACAAGCCTGTTATATCAGGTCAGCAAATTCTATAAAAAGCCTGAAAACAGCCCTACCACGAAAGGGTAAACTTCTTAAAATTCTGCTTACTCTTGGGGTGCCTGGGTGGCTCAGTTAGTTAAGCATCTGACTTTGGCTCAGGTCATGATCTCATGGCTCATGAGTTCGAGCCCCATGTCAGGCTCTGTGCTGACAGCTCAGAGCCTGGAGCCTGCTTCCGATTCTGTGTCTCCCTCTCTCTCTGCCTCTTCCCCGCTTGTTCTCTGTCTCTCTCTCTCTCAAAAATAAATAAAGACATTAAAAAAATAAAAATAAATTCTGCTCACTCCTAACTTGCTCAACAAACTTCTTCCTTTTTAGTTCGAAGATACCATGCGTAAAAGACAACGTGAGACAATGATGGAAATCTGAGCAGGAATTCTATTTTAGATGATGAAGGGAATTATTATTAATTTTATTAGCTGTGGTGATGGCATGGTGGTTCATTATTTTTCAATGTTTCCTTACTCATTAGAAATTCAAACAGAGGGGTGCCTGGGTGGCTCAGCCGGTTGAGCGTCTGATTTTGGCTCAGGTCATGATCTCATGGCTCATGAGTTCAAGCCCTGTGTCAGGCTCTGTGCTGACAGCTAAGAGCCTGGAGCCCTGCTTCAGATTCTGCATCTCCCTCTCTCTGTCCCTCCCCTGCTCATTCTCTCTCTTTCTCTCTCTCTCTCTC